AGTATAATTGTATTTTCTGGTAATTTTTTTTCTTCTTGAAATTATAGAAGTTTAGTTGCGAATTGAGAAAAAGTTGTGAACAATTTAATTCTGAGCAAACTACTTCCTGTGTCTCGAGAGTCGAACCAGTGAACTCACTTGGAGAAAAAGTTTTCTTTTCTAAACTTTTCTATTGGGTTCGTTAGCACAATAAATTTTACTTTGATACTTCCGGAAAAGCAGCGAGTGTGTCCATTTGGATATATTCAGGAGTATTTTTTTTCCTTCTCAATAAAAAGATTTTCCCAGCAATAATCGTGACAACTGTTTATCGACGTAAACTATAATTATGTTTATTGATAATACAAATAATTATTATTAGTAATAATTATTACTACTCATAAACATATTAATTAATATTTTCGTAACCATTTTTCAATTTTTTTTCTATTTATTACAATTTTTATTTTTATTATTATTAATTTTACTATTCTCTTCTTATTATTGTATTTTTTTTCATTATTGTTATTAATTTTATCATTATTTTTCATAAAAATTGTAATTCCTAATATTTTTATTTCCCTTCATATTTTTATTTTCATTGATTTTATTAAAACCGTTTTTTAATTATGTTGTGACAAAAAAAAGTCTGATTATTTAATTACTACAATTATGTTTTTTAAAACCTTTTCTTAAATTATTTTATTACTAAAAATGTCTAAATTATTCATATAATGTTTATTATGATTATTTATTTTTTAATTTACAAGAATAAAAAAATTTTATCTAGATACTTTCATTCCAAAAAAAAGTGTCTCCTTGTTTAGGAACATTTCTATCAAAATATTTTTGAATACATATTTTTTCAAAAAAAAAAAAAAAAAATACTCTCGTGAAAATTTCAAAAAAATAAAATTGATTTTAGAAAAGGAAAAAAAAATACATGATAAAAATACAGTTTTCCAAGTCGGAAATCGCGAAAATTTACGATTCATGCTCGAGAAGGAGCATATCCATAAAATAGTGCCACTGATTCATAGCAAGTGCTGCAGAAATTTCTTTAAACATTGAAGAAGAACGCTATTTCCAATAAATAAAAGGGAAAAAAAAATTTTGAAAAGAAAATTCTTATTCAAAGATATATAATTTAAATTTACCCTTAAGAGGAGAAAAAAATATTGGCTTATTCATTAAAAAGCAAATTTTTTTTTATTTTCGATGATTTTTTTTATATTAAAATTTTTGAAAAGATTTCTTTTTTTTATTTACTTTTATTAAAGTTCTATTAGATCAAAGTGCATATTGTACTGAATTACATAGAGTTCAATCGATGCTTTTCAAAGCATTGAAAAGTGTATGTCGCTATATTTGAAATCAATCAATAATATCAGCAACAAGTGAAATTGATGATCAATTGTACTCCACTCAATAAGCAAATAGAGATGTCGGTTATAATTCAATTGAAAATTGTCTTTCTTTTGTATTCGACAACTGTGCAGGGGATTTTTTATTTCTTTTTTTTTTTGTAAATTATGAGACTCTTTTTTGGGTAAATTTATTTTATATTTATGATTTAATTTTCTTTCAGTATTATTAATAATAATAATAAAAAAAATTATTTTGTTGCAATCATTTTTAACAGTTTTATAAATTTTTTACTTACTAAAAAGATTGTAAAACTTTGTAGTCTGACCAAAATTGAACTTATCTACTTACAGCAAAATAAGAAATTTTTATATCAACTTTTTTTTTACTATTATTGACATTTACTACTAAGGATAAAATTGATCTGAATATTTCTAATTTTTGATTTCTACTGCTTTAAGTATAAAAAAATTTAAGTCTGACTAAAACTGATTTCTACTACTGACAACGAATTTACAAATTTTTGAAATATTTTGTCTGACTGTAACTATCTTTTTCTACTGAACAAATTTGCTAGAATATTTTTTAACTAGAAGCAATTTTTAACAATTAAAGAGACCTAAGATTTTTATAGTCTGACTAAAACTGACCTTTACTACTTACAGTAGAATTTCAAGTTTTTAATTATGTGCCTCAGAATAATTGACATTTACATATTCACAAGCCTAAATAGATAAAAATAGTTTTTAAATGCCTGACTAAAACTGATTGATACTACTTACGAAAAAACGAATTTTCCAGTCTGACTAAAACTGACCTTAACCACTTAAACTAAAATTATAATTCCTTTAGAATCTTTAAATATATTTATTAATTAGTAATAATTCCAATATATAATAATACTTTCTTCTATTTATAATAATTTTTATTTCTTTTTAGAATAATCTTTATTTTTTTTTTATCTATTTATAATACATAACAATATTTAATTAATAATAACTACTTTTTATTGATGTTAAATTAAAAATAACTTTTTATTTACCCATTTGAGTAGTAAAATTTTTATACGTCAGACATTGTATTTTTTTATATACATAAGTGAAATAAATCGGTAGATTGAACGCGTAAACTTTTAACTGCTATCAATGTTACAGCGTCAGACAATTTCGTTCTCTAAGGAGAAAATCATCAAGAGAAAAATTTGAAGAAGGAAAAAAATACTCTAAAGCAGAAAATAGTTTTTTTTACTCCTTTCTTTAAAAGAACCTGTACAGTCAATTCAGTTTTAAGTAGTATAAACTTTATCACGTCTGGAAAAAAAGAAATTAAAAAGTATTATTACTTTATTAACTAATTTAACAAAAAAAAAAAGAAAAAATTCTCCCCGTGTGATGTAAAAAGTAAAGATAATAATTATTTTTATTTTAAAATTAAAAACTTAAGATTTAAAAATTTTTAATTTATGATATTAAATTTTAACTAGAAGATTTCTGTGACATAAGTTGATAAAGTTATTAACTAGTTAATATAAAAATGTAGTTGGGGAAAAAAAGTAATCTGACAGAAAATTGGTAAATACAATAAACGGAAGTTAAATTATTGTTCAGTGGAATAAAATTCTCGACAAGTCAGACAAAAGTCGTCTTTATTTGTCTAACAGTAGAGAAAGTTTCCCACTGCAAACAAATGATATTTTAAGTAGTATAAGAGTCGTTGTGTCAGACGTAGTTCACCTTTTAAGCGGGAAACTAACCTTTTTCACTCAATCAAAGTTAAGTCTTTAAGTATAGAAAAAGGTCTATATTCGACTCGACGAAAATCAATCTTGTAAGTAGAATAAAACATTTGAAAAGGTTCAAAACAATTCCTCTTTTAAGTAGTATAAAATTTATTCTGTCAGACGAACTTTTGTCTTTTAAGTCTAGAAAGAAATTTATGTTACACAGACGTTTATTTGGTTTTTTATATATCATCTTCAAAAGCATTTTCAAATCTATTTTACTTTTGAGCTTAGAATAGTTTTTGAGAATTCTACTTTGTAAAATGCTTTTTCAGTTTTGAACTTTTTTGTGCTTTTTTAAATTTTTGTTTTCTTTTTACTATTTTTTTGTCATTTTACATTCATTATTTCATTTTGATCTGTTTTAATCTTTTTTGAACTTTTATTCTTTTTTGATCTTTTTTTTTTACCTTTTTTGATCCCGTTGACCTTTTTTCCTCTCTTTTATATTTTTCCTTTTTGGACTTTTATTACTCTTTTTGAGCTTTTTTACCTCCTTCGTTATTTTTTGGGGGCTTGTTACCTTTTGATCTTTTTTATATTTTTCTTTTCCTTGTTTATTCTTTTTGAGCTTTTTTTATTTACTTTTTTTTATGTTTCGGCCTTTTTGCCATTGTGAGCTTTTTCTCTTTTTTACATTTTTCTCTTTTTTGACTTTTTAAAATTTTTTTTGAGCTTTTTAAAATTTTTATTTAAAAATTTTTGGCTTTCTTTTATCCATTACCAGTTTTTTTTATAATTTTTGAACTTTTTCGAACTTTCCAAGTGCCAAAAAAAGTGGAAAAACAAAAAATAAAAGAACAGTAGTATAAATAATGTTACGTCAGACAAAAGTGTCAACAAGTGTAAAATTTTTCTCACGAGTGTCAAAAATAAAAAAAAAACTTTTGAAGTTAGCTTAAGACTGATTGTTGCACAGTCATAAATAAACTTTTTGGAGTTGACAAACAAGTGTCACCATGTATCACTTAATATTTACTGTCAACGAGAATAAAAAATGGTTTTACATCACAAATGATCTAGTAGAAATAAAGTCGTTTTGTCGGACAAAAATTCGGTTTCACTGGTAAAAATGATATTTTCATTAGACATCAATCATATTTCGTTTGTGACAAAAAGAAGAGACATATGAGATTCAATTTGTCTTTTAAGTGGTATAAACGTCGTCAAGTCAGACAGTTCTCAGAATTTCAAGTGTAGAAAAAAAATGTTTTGAATATTTTTGAATGCATTTACCAAAAAAAAAATTTGAATGTATTGACTTTAATCTTTAATTTACAAAAAATTATTTATATCTATTTTTAAGTTAACAATAAGTGCAAAATTAATTTAATAATTAATATCTACTTAAAATAATTTATAAATAAGGTAAATATTAATATTTACATAAAATAACTAAAAAAATATATAAATAATATATTTAATTTGATAGTAATTAATTGCTAATTAACAGCTAATTAAAATACACTGTCGTAAAATACTATTAATACTATTAATTAATTATAATGAAATGCTTAATAATGAATTTGAAATAATTTTATTAATGACTATTAATTAAGAATTAGTCAATTAATTTAATTAATTTTTAATTATTTAAGAAATAAACACGATTTTCTTTTTTACAATCAAATAAATATAAAAGTAAAATGAATAAATTGACTAATATTATTTCGTACTCAAAAAAAAAAATATAAAATTAATAAGTTGATTAAATTTGTTTTGTTTGTACAAAGAGAAAGAAACTCCATCAGTAATTTAACGTATAATTGAAATTTGGAGAAATTGGAATAATTCGGAGGGGTTGTTATTCAAATATGGAGACGATTAATGTATACAACGTGTGTTTAATAATAATAATAATTATTATTCATTACAGGTGGGTCTAGTGGTGCCGTACAAGTCTTTTGGCGTTCGTGATTATTCCAAGGCAGTGACAAAAGCTACCAACATGCTGCAGAAGAGCACTAGAGGTCCAAAACTCGAACTATTTCAACGTTACGGCATTCATGTAAAGGTCACTATGCTGGAATTAACCCCGAGTCCCACGAGTAAGTTTTCATCTCATTTTATTATAGAATTTCGAAAATCTCGCTTCCTTTATTATTATTATTAATTATAATAATAATAATAATAATAATAACAATACGGATATTTATATTGAGATACTAAAAGTACTGTCATGCTGAGCGAGATTATTAGGTTTATATTCTTTAGGGATACATTTATTTCGCGATGCTTTTGTAGTATACTATTTATTTTTAGAATAAATATTAAATTTTTGGAGAATAAAAAGTATTTTTTTTACTTTTTTACTTTTAGTGTAAATGCAAAAAGTATTTTCTACTTTCTCACTTTTGGTATTAATGCAAAAAGTATTTTCTAATTTCTGACTTTTGGTAATAATACAAAAAGTATTTTTTACTTTCTCACCAAAAGTATTTTCCACTTTCTGACTTTTGAAATTAATACAAAAAAGTATTTTCAACTTTTTGATCTTTGGTATTAATAATAATACCTACAAAAAGTATTTTTTATTAATTTTTTACTTTTGGTATTAAAACATAAAGTATTTTCTACTTTTTAACCTTCAGTATTAGTACAAAAAGTAATTTTTTCTTTCTGACTTTTGAAATTAATAAAAAAAAGTATTTTCTACTTTTTGCCTTTAGATACTATTAATACAAAAAGTATTTTCTACTTTCTGACATTTGAAATTAACAAAAAAAAACTATTTTCTACTGTTTGACCTTTAGTATTAATGCAAAAAGTATTTTTTAATTTTCTGACTTTTGAAATTACTACAAACAATAATTTTTAAATTCTGACTTTTGGTATTAAAAAACAAAAAGTCTTTTTTACTTTTTGCTTCTTGATACTATTAATACAAAAAGTATTTTTTACTTTCTGACTTTTGAAATTAATAAAAAAAAGTATTTTCTACTTTTTGCCTTTAGATACTATTAATACAAAAAGTATTTTTAATTTCTGACTTTTGAAATTAATAAAATTATTATTTTTTACTTTTGACTTTTAGTATGAATACAAAAAGTATTTTTTACTTTCTGACTTTTGAAATTAATAAAAAAAAGTATTTTCTACTTTTTGCCTTTAGATACTATTAATACAAAAAGTATTTTTAATTTCTGACTTTTGAAATTAATAAAATTATTATTTTTTACTTTTTGACTTTTAGTATGAATACAAAAAGTATTTTTTACTTTCTGACTTTTGAAATTAATAAAAAAAAGTATTTTCTACTTTTTGCCTTTAGATACTATTAATACAAAAAGTATTTTTAATTTCTGACTTTTGAAATTAATAAAATTATTATTTTTTACTTTTTGACTTTTAGTATTAATACAAAAAGTATTTTTTACTTTCTGACTTTTAAAATTAATAAAAATAGTATTTTTACTGTTTGACCTTTAGTATAAATACAAAAAGTATTTTTTACTTTCTGACTTTTGAAATTACTACAAACAATATTTTTAAAATTTTGACTTTTGGTATTAAAACAAAAAGTATTTTGTACTTTCTGCCTTTCGATACTATTAATACAAAAAGTATTTTTATACTTTCTGACTTTTGAAATTAATAAAAAAATGTATATTCTCCTTTTTGACCTTTAGTATTAATACAAAAAGTATTTTTTACTTTTTGACTTTTGAAAATACTAAAAACCAACATTTTTAATTTTTGACTTTTGGTTTTAAAACAAAAAGTATTTTCTACTTTTTGCTTTTCGACACTATTAATAAAAAAAGTATTTTTCACTTTCTGACTTTGCTATTATAGTAGAAATAGTATTAGTAGAAAAAGTAATTTTTAATTTTTGACTTCGAATATTATAAAAATAACTGTTGAAAAATTCGTTTATTTAAAATTACAAACATTAAAATAGAAAATAGAAAAAATACGTAACTTTTTTTCATGCTTTCCTTTTTTTCGAGCTAAAATTAAATATTATTCTTTATTTAGTTTCTTCGGAAAATTTTGTAATATTATGAAAATTAGTTGAAGTGAACTTTAAGTAATTTATCATCAAAGTAGTAATTTATTACAGCCATTGTGCTTCACTTAGTTTCCGTTTGTTAATTAGCGAAAATTAAATTCAGTAAGGAGAGAGAGAGAGAGTGGAAGGGAAAAATATTATTTTCTACGCTAGTTCCAAAATTTTGCCGAATCTCATTAAATAATTCGCGAACTACAATAACAGTTTTTTTTAATGAATGTATAAGTTGGCAAAATATTTTTTTTATATTTTTCTTGTGATTTTAATTGGTTTAATTAATATTTTCAATCTCGGTTGCAAACTGTATTAATTGCAATTAAAAATATTTTCAGATTTTAACTAGTATTTTTTTGTTTTAGTTTTGAATTCTTTTAATTGTTTTTGGTTTTCTTTTGTTCTTTTTTGTTTTTATATTTTATTTTATATTTACTCGTTTTTTTCCAATTTTTTGGTTTTTCTTGTTTCTTTTTTGGTTTGTCTTTATTTTTCTTTGCTATTTGCCTTTTTTGGTTTTCCCTCGGTTTTTTTGTTTTTATTTGCTTTTTTTCGCTTTTTTAATCTTGTTCTTGTTTTTCCTTGTTTCTCTTTTGATTTTTCCTTTTTTTTCTTTCCTTTTCTCCTTTTCTTTTGTTTTTATTTCCTTTTTTTGGTTTTTCTTTTCTTTTTTCCCTCTTTTTGTTTCTGTTTCGAGTTTTTTGGTTTTTCTCTCCTCTTTTTAATGTCTCTTTTGGGAAAAGGAAAATAAAAGAAAAACCTTTTATTTCTTCGTTTGGTAATAAAGAGGAAATTTTATCTCCAAATAATGCATCATTAATGGGAATGTTTTCTTCTTGGGAATAAATATAATTTATGCGCCAAATTTTTATTAGGAAAACGCATAAAATACACTAAAGACGGGGATTAATTCATTATCGAACTTCGATTTACTCCCGGTGAAGCTTTTAACTCAGCCTATTAGTCTGCATTATTCTTCACGGATCAATGTTTTCCCTTCCCTCTTTAATATAAATCCATGGCCACTGACGTGATCGTGTCTGCTTCATTTCACAGTTATTATTCAATTTCACACACTTTTCACCAATATAATTTATTTCTCTTCATTTCCTCTTTTTAAAAAAAAAAAAACCTAAACATTTTTTGAAAAAAAAATTTCAATTTAACTTCCTCTTCGTTCCAAAGAAATATTTATTCAACACAAGATGGTTTTTAAAATTCAATATTTTTTAAATTAAACATTTTTAAAAATAAACATTTTTTTAAATAAAACATTTTTTACATTCGCTCTGTAAATTACATTTCTAAAGTTGAAAAAAATTTATAATTAAAAATACATAAAAAATGAATGATGGAAAAATACAAATAGTAGCAAGAGTGAAAATAAATATAGAAGAGTTTAAAAATAAAATAAATTATTTTTATTTACTAGTAAAAATAATAATAATAAAAATAATATTTATTTCGAAAATATAAAAATAATTCTTATAGAAAAAGATATGAATATGAATGTGAATATAAATAAAAAGAATTATAGGAATGAAATATAGAAGAAGGTATAAAAAAAATATCGACTAGAATGTAAATAATTAATAGATATAAATTTTTGCTACAGAGATAGGAAAAAAAAAATTGCATAACGATTATTTCAACTTAACAATTGACGGGGAAAAAATGATTTTATTTGCAATAAAAAGAAGTTTCAGTCCAACTAGATACATTGTATTCTCGAGTGTAAAATGGACCATAATTTTTATCGGTTTCTTTCTACTCGGATATTCAGATACTAAAGCATTTAAAACACATTCCTCTCATACTGGATTTTTTTTTATTATTTGAAATCGAATCGTTTACAGGCGCTTCAATATTTGTACTAGATATTCATTTTTCAATAAATGCGACAAAAAAAACAAGTTAATAGAAAAATGTTTGTATTAAAAAACAAAAAGTTAAAAAAAAGAAATTAAGAAAACAAGATTATTGTCCAAGTGAAAATTAGAAGAAAAGGTGAAAAGAGAGGAGAAAAAATTAAAAGTAAAAAAGAAAAGGATTGTTTTTCTTTTATAGTAGAAAAATGAAAAAAATTAAGAATAGAGTAAAATGGAGAAGAAAAATTAAGAATAAAATTAATAAAAATGAAATGGAAAGGAAAAAACTTGAGAACAACGGAAAAAGAGAATGGAGATGGTAAAAAAGGGGGTAATAATTTATAATATGGTTGATGTCATAAAATGTTAAAGCCATCGGTTTTCTTTTCTATACACACACACACACACACACATGTATATATATTTACACGCTTGAGTTATAAACTCTGCGCAGTTGTTTTTGCAACACATGACATCTTCAGGTATTGGAAAAATGTTGTCGCTTTATAAAACGACTGTCTGGCGCCTTAAATGAATTTTCCACTGAGTGTAGTTCCATATAAAATGCAAGAGTCTTACATTCTTGTCAAGTGCCTATGTAAAATGTAAATTTTACCTCTTAAGCAACGCAACTTCTCTCTCTCCACATCTGAAAAATATCAGCATAAAACGAAAATTCTCCAGACTCCCCGAGACATTGCGTCTTTAATAATACAAAAAAGAAAATGAAGAAGGAAAAAAAATACAACTAGAAAAAATTTATGAATTCAAGATAAGGAGAGAAAGTTAAAAATAAAATATATTGAAAATAAATAAATAATAAAAATAGCAAAATAATAAAAAATTGTAATTAATATTTAAGAAAAATTAATTCAAAATATTTTTAAATCAAATAATAATTTTAAATTTATAATATTAATAATAAACAAGAATAATTTAATATTTTTTTTAATTTTTCAAAGAATATTTTGTGAATATTAAAAAATCAATGTGTCACTACAGGACACAACTAGGTCCGTATTATCGATTAAAAAAGGACAAAAAGTTCGTAAATTGTACGATATAATTTAGAAAATTTTAGAGAAATTACAAATTATTGCAGAAATTCAATTCTTTTCAAAAGTAATAAAATTCTCAGCAAAAATTTAACACTGTTCAAATTTTTTTTAAAATT